GAAAGAAACAGGAAACCTCAGTATCCATGCAGTAATACATTAATAAACATCTCATTTGCTAACAAGTGAAAATTGGTGTTTGAAACTCTGAATTGTACCTGACCTCCTCTTATTTCTTTGGTTGCCTTTCTCTAATAAAATAAAAAGCACTCAGAAATTTCAAAAGATATGCTTGGAGATTTAGTATAAATTTCACAAAAAAAATTTAGATGACTCAAGGGTAAATGAGTCATCAACAGATGGCTTCAGTTGTTTTTTTTTCTAAGCATATGGTCACTAACAGTAAATCAACCAGTTCAGTTGCCTGATTATTACACATTTTAAAATCTGTTTTTAAGCATAAATCAGATAAACCTAAGATGTTTCAATATTTTGATGGGATATACTATCAGACATTATTTTCTCATCTAGGACATATTTTGACCATATTTTGGAAAAGTTTGTAATTATATTCGAGGAATATAACATACAAAATAGGTTAAAAAGGAGGAATATTAAAAGTCATGCTTTTTTTTTTGTATCAGGGATCGAACTCTGGTCCTTGCGCCTTTTAAAGAATATAATATCTTTTTCTTCTTAAATTCTTTTATTGGTATATTTTAGGTATATAATACATTTACATTCATCATTGGGAACTTGTACCTTTACATGATGTATTTTGGTTTTTATTTTTTCCCCATTCCCCTGGCCTCCTTTTAACTCCTCCACCCCTCCTTATTTACAAAGGTTTTGTTTCCATTTTTTTCTCACATTTTTTCCTTTCCCTTCATTCTTTGCCCCTACCCCTCCCACTTCCCCTACACCTCCTATTTCACATTATCAATTTTTCATTTTAATCCTTATTTACACTTTCAGTTTCTCATACCAGAGAAACTATTCAGTATTTACATGTGTGTCCTATTTATTTCACTTAAGAGTATGGCCTCAATGTGCATCCATTTAGTTATAAATGTCTCTAATTTCTTAGTCTTTATGGCTGAGTAGTACTCCATTTTATTAAAACACACACACACATTTTCTTTATCCACTCTCTAGCTGGTGTGCAGTTGGGCTGTTTCCAAGCTTTAGCTATACAAACTGTGCTGCTATAAACATGGGTGTGCATATATCGCTGTGCTATAATTCTTTCTGGAAGATACCCAGTAGAAGAATAGCTGGGTCAAGTGAGACCTCTAGTCCTAGTTCTCTGAGGTATCTCCATATTGATTTCCACAGTGCTTGCACCAGTCTGCACTCCCACCAACAATGGAGAAGGGTTCCTTTCTCCCCACAACCCTGCCAACATTTGTTATTCATTGATTTCTTGATAGCAGCCATTCTTTCTGGGGTGAGGTGGAATCTCAGTGTTGTTTTCATCTGCATCTCTTGAATGACCAGTGATGTTAAACATTTTTTCATATGTTTATTTGCTGCTTTTGCTTTTTTGTCTGAGAAATGTCTGTTCATTTCAGATGTCCATTTTTTAACTGGGTCTTTACATTGCGGGGCGGGGGTTAAGTTCTTTATATATTCTAGACAGAGGAACAGGTGATAAAATTTTTTTCCCACATTGTAGTTTGTCTCTTAGCTCTGTTAGTGGTTTCTCTTGCAGTGCAGAAGCTTTTTAATAAGATAAGATCCCAGTTGTTGATTCTTTGTTCTAATTCTCATGCTACTGAGGTTTTAAAAACATAATACTTTTGAAAAATAATATCCTAATAAATTTTCTGGCTTAGAATCTGAGCACTTTTTCTAGGAGAGAGAAAATAAAGATGTGAGGTTACATATAATTTGACCACTGATTAATAAAATATTGTATTTTTTATATTTTCTACTCATGCCTGACAAAAATAGTTTAAAGTATCTAATCTAAAGAATGACAGTGATATTCTAATAAAAATAATAGTGGAAGGTACCAAACATTTCCAAAATCAATTTCATAATTATGGTGTATCAGTTAGATATCTCCAGAAAAACAAACCAATAGGACATAAGTATTTTTTGTATTATTATAAGGAATAGTTTTACTTGAGACATGTATCATTTACATGATCTTTGTACTGACAAATCCAAAAATCTGTAGGGCAGCATAGTAGGGTGAAAACTCAAACATGGTTTCTATGTTATAACCATTAGACAGAATTTCTCCCTCTCTAAGAAACCTGTTGCTCTTAAAATCTCCACTTCATTGGATAAGGTCCATTGATGTTATCTAGGTTAATCTATTTTACTTAATGTCAACTGATTGCAGAGGTTAACTACATCTACAAAATACCTTCTCAGCAACCACTAGATTACAATTTGATTAAATCACTAAGTAACACAAACTTGCCAAGTTGAAATGTAAAACTTGTAATATCTGCTTCCTTAATTCTTTCAAACTTACATGTTATATTATACATTATTGACATAGTATATACCTATTTATTAGTTCAACTATTAGATAATATATTACTATAACAATCAATGGTAATAGATGTTCATGAATATTAATTAGTCAAATTTATATAGTAGATATTTGCATATACATTGATTGAGCTAGTGTTTTAAAAATATTTACTGTCCCATAATCTGAGGCACAAACAACAAGTATGGATTTACTCCTGTATACTGATGATGTTTAAAATTTTTGAGAAGAAATATAAGTATTGATTTTGTAGACATTAATATATCATGCCCAGTTTTCTATTTGAAAAAAGTTCTGAGGTAGAATTATTAATTAAATATTATGTAGTAGTTATATATACAAGTCACTATATTATATTAGGTGCCTAGTATACTTTAATAGGTTAAAAAAAAGTGTCATTCCACAAAGAGTTTATAATTCACTAGGAATCTATTCAGCTCTGAATTCTGCCTCTGTGTGATATGGAGCAAATTATGGTAATTTGAAGTTTAGTTTCCTTATTGGTGCAATAGAAATTACATGAGATAATATTTTAATAAGTTTTTTATGTTTCAAAATATTATCATTTTAAGACTGTATTATAAAATCATTCACCAATGGATAGGCATGGATGCATTATTCATAATGATTTGATTCAATGAGAGAAATTAGTAATTGATGGTCTGCATTTCAGAACTTAGCTCAAGATATGTTTTCTCTTATTTAGAGTCACAGCTAAATTGCCTTCATAAAATAATGAAAGCTAACCTCAAAGCCAGATACAAAAAATTACCAGTAAGTAAGAAATGGAGTGGCCAAAAGCAAAACATGTATTTTAAGATAACTAGTAAATAAACACTAATAGTTTGAGATAATCAACTGGTTACAAACTATATATGAACAAAGAGGATTTGAAATACTAAATTACATGCTAAAGATTGATATTGGAAATTATTATTTATGGTCTCCACATTTAAACTTACTTTTCAAGTTTGCCTTTTACACACTATAGGAGCTCTGCTTTGTAAAATATACACCACAAAGAAGTAAAGTTTTTTTAACATTTATATAAAGGGATTTGATTTTATTTGTTATACTTATTTTTATTAAAAAGTTAGAAGGCAATGCAATTATCTTGATGCTATTAGTTGTATGCATATTTGATGTTTTATGGATTGGAGAAAAATGCACTATTTTACATAGCATTTCTTTATGGAAGAAGTTCAAGTCTTCTTTCCTTTCTCTGAAATGCCTACAATTTTCTGTGTATATCAAAGCTTCATTCTTAATATTTGCTTTCTATTTCCATAGTGATAGGAATGGAATGGAATCCCCAGCGGTCCCCATTATCTTGCCCTTTGTAGCCTTAGCCTTTGACTCAGCCTGAGTTTACCATAACTTATTTTTATAATGATCCTGAGATGCAGCCAGCCCACTTGCCAATATTTTATTCCCACTCAGCTCATTTCAGAATAGAGATTCTCACTTTCTCTCTTCAAAGCATTTCTAGTTTCAGCCAGCAAGTTTTAAAATAAAACGGCTGTTATGCAAATGCAGGAAGACAAAATGCATTTTCTTCAATACTCTGATTCTACCTTGACTATTAAAGGCTCCATAGAGCCCTTTACTTTCCAGTATTAGTCATAAAGTCATTTCTCAATATAGCGATATTTTCTCAAGCAATTGCTTAGTACTGCGTAGTTTTTTTATGACAAATGGTTTCATATTTTCTTATGGTTCATTGTCATTAATATTACCAAATGTGCATTCCAAATTCATACCTTGTGTGGTATTAATTTACTGGAATTGTTTCTGACAATCAGTGATGCACAGGGAAGACTGTAAGTTTGGGATTAGGGTTCTTTCTTTTTTGATTTTTCATATTCTTTTATAGTTTTGTTTTACTGTTGACACATTTTTCATTTATGTATTTTCTCCCTCAACAGTGAGTGTTTTGCACATAGAATGAATTCATTTATCCCAAATTTTCAAGGTATCAATTTCTACTTTGCTCCTCATCACTTCTTTCAGCAACCTACTATTTATGTACTTATTTTCACATAGTTAATTTCATGGCCAGGACAGCCATAAAAAGAATTGGCAATTAAAAATTATGACTATATCTTGTTTATAAAGATAGCTGAGAGGAGGCTGTAGTGGTTCTCAACTTGAGTGTGTACCAGAATCAACAAGAGGGTTGCTTAAATTCAACCAGACTGCTGTGACCCACTTCAGAGTTGCTGATTAAGGAATTCAGGAGTGAGGTCTGAGGATCTGAACTCTGAGCAAGTTCCCCGATGATGCCTCTGTGGCTGCTCAAGGTAGCATATTTCAGAAATCATGACTGTAAAACATAAAGCATACTAAATTCTAGTCATATTGTTCAAATAAAATACCCAGGTGTCATTTGATGAAGCAGGCACGCTTGGCATTGTGTTTAAGAAATAGCTGTGACCTTCTCTTCTTAAAACAGTCCACTTTCTTTAAGCTGAATTCTTGTTCTGTAAATAAACCTTGAATTGAAGGATTGGCTATATTTCTGACAAGTCATGAGGCTCACCAAGGTCGATTTTGTTTGCTGTATCACTTAAAATACAATTCTACTTACAATTGCCTGCCATAGCTGACTGCACTTTTTTTATGTTCATAATAGATTTTGACACTGGGGAATAAGAAGCTATGAAAATAAGGTTGATAAACCAGCAAAGAAGTTTTTCCTTAAATGGTTACAATCTGCCAAGAGCTGATAAGAAAAGAATCCTTTGGGACAATGACAAAAACTTAAAGCCATCAACTCCATGTCAGCAATGGGCAAGAAAACAAATGGAATTTCAGACAATTCAGAACAAATGCTACAAATCCAAAACCAAATTCAAAACTCTTTTCAATCCCATAGTTCTGAAAGACAATTTAGGAGTACAATGAATTTGGGCAACTCCAAGCTGATAGTTACATTGTGTCTTTACTTTTGACTTTCTTTTTTCCAGCTGAAGTTAATTTGTCTCAGTGAAGTGTTTTCTCATTTTCTCTGGGGTGCATATCATATCATCTCTGATGCAAAATGCTCAAGAAAAAACTGAGGCAGAGCAAGGGTAAGTTAATTACTGAAAATGTGTTAATTATGATGAATTAGAGTAATTGAAGTAGTACTTAGCAGATTTCTATTGTGCCTTTATATTGTCTGTTCAAATAGTTTTAAAGCTATAAACTGTTATTGGAAAGAATAATATCAGATGAAGTTGAAATAATTAATTTTAGACTCATAGTTCAATAGATATTGGAATATGGTTAATTATTCTGTGATTTTCACATTGTTATATAACAGACAAGTATAACCCTTTTGACATTAAAATAAGTTAGGTAAATAGTTTGATGCCAGTTTTTAACAGAGTAGTAAAAATGAATGGCAGCCATCAAAGAATCAGTTGAAATTGTGATGTATAAAATACTATAATTTCAAATATTTTTAAATTATACAATTAAAGGAGATAGGATTAAAAGCTATTATCACTAAATCCTTTAAACATTAGGCATTACTATATTCAAGGCACTCTTCTAAATATCTTATATAGATTATGCAATCTATCTTTCCATTTCTCCTCAAAACAAACAAACAAAAACAATTCACAATAATTAAGTTGGGGCTGACATTTCTATTCAGCAGATACAGAAAGTGTTTTTGAGTTGCCACATATTACTTCCTAAGCTGTGAGCTGCACAACTTCTTACAATGAAGTTTGTGGAATCTTAATTTTAGAGAAATCAAGTACTTGAAGCTCATAAAAGGTGCTGACCCATGCAGGGGTAGAATAAGTGCGGAAACTGGAACTTGAACTCATACTATTCTTTTTAATTACATTGCCACATTATGTGTTTATCAATAATGGATAAATAAGTGTAATTAATAAACAAACTTCTCTTATTGATTACAAAACTTAACAAGAATAACTTGCCAAAGTGGAATTTCATCAAAGACTATTGGAATGGTAAAGGTTGTTGAAACCTTGGACAATGTGATATAGATGCCAATGTTTATATGAGTATTTTGGTATAATATAGAAACATTTTGCTCAATGACATGGAAAAGAGAGCAAGAAACATCACAGCATTTTGTGGAATTATAAGTGATTAGGAGATTCAGGGTGAGATAGCTCAGTGACTTTTTTTTAAAGTATGCAATAGAAGGATCTAAGGCTCCCTATCATAGATGTGGTAATATTGATTTTTATCATATTTTTCATATCACATATTTCCTCTTATTGTTCTGAATTACAAAATGATATGAATTTATATTTCCTCAGTAATTTTTATACTGAATTATGCCAAGAGTGAAATAAGTTTTCTTAAAGAACTGGTCAGGACAGTTGAACATACAAGGGAAAAAGCAGCTTTCTGGGAAGAAAATAGAATGATGTTTCCTGAGGAAAAGCATCTCTCTCAGGGTTGCCATGGTGCCAGGGCTCAGTTCTTCTCAATGTCTTGAGAAATCTCTGAACCAAATTGTCAGCCTGTAGCCAATGTAGATTAAATTAAACATAAAAAATATAAGCATAATTTAAAGTTATTTTCAGTAGCCTAGTAGAGGAAAAAAGGGTAAGAAATATGTGGATAAAAATAAATTATTCAATAATGTAGTAGAGAAAATAGAATGACTTGAATGTCAGAATACCAGAGTTATTTTAGAAAGAGCACAAGACTATAGAAGATTAAGTAAAATGACAATAATGTTAATGTATTAGATGTGCTAGCTTCTGTAAGGCAAAGAGTGGAAAATTATTGTAATCAGGCAGTGAAAAAGAAATCTTTTGTAAAGAAAAGACAAGACAAAATATATAGATATTAGCTGAAAATTCTGTGGAAAAAATCAACAGACCTATAATTTCACAATTTTAAAATCGCATGGCTTTGATTATTTTATGTCAGGAAGGATCACTTTAGTTATAACTACATAAAATATTTGGTTTTACTTGTAACTGAACTAAGAAAAGTCTCATTATACTATTTAATGATTACATAATTAGTATATTTTAGTAAGATGGAGAGCCTTGTAATTATTGCACAATCCTACACAAAGACACTTTATATAGCAAATAATAATATACAGGTACAAATAGTTTTCTTTCAAGTGAACATTATTATTGTTACTTAATTTTATCTCCAGAAGTGATCATAGCATTTCTTCCTTCTTTAGCTGTAGATTTAACAGCTGTGATTTTCCTTTGAAAGAAGTAATAATGTTAGAGTAGAGAACACTGGCACTGGACTAAGGGAGCTCTTAATGGTACGGTAATTAGTCAACTTGGTTGCGACTGACTGCAAGAAACAGGGAAGAAAGAGCAGACTTTTGCAATGAACAACTTTCCTGATACATACACAAATCCTTAAACAAATATGTATTCAGTATTTTACCATTATGAAGAAGCAGAGAAGTCAATAAAAGTATTGAATAAACATACAGGTGACAAAGATTGTGTGAAATTCAGATTTTCATTTATTAATTCATTTAATATATTTACAGAAACACAGTGACTTTTTCTCATGGAATTTATATTAACCGATTTTTTTTTTTTGTACCTGGGATCAAACTCCGGTCCTTGCGCTTGTGAGGCAGGTGGCAGAACCACTGAGCTAAATTCCCGGCCCTAACCAAATGTTTTTGAGGAAAATGTTTACATGTTTGAAATGTTGGCTGTAGAGAATGAGAGACAGTTGAATGAAGACAGAAAAAAAAAAAAAGCAGAGCACAGCTGAGAGTGAAGAAAATGTGATTTCTCCTCTCAAAATAAAGTGATTTAATTTAGAAACCAGTAGGTACCTGTTGGTTGCAGTAGAGAATGGATATAATTTAATGCATACAATTTGAGGATTAGCAGAGCAGTTGGTGCCCCTAAAAGTTTTGTGAAAAATTATGTGACACCAAGACTTACACAGATCGGTAAGAGAAACCTTTTGACTAAACTATGTGAAATTTCAACATCAAAAGAATGGGTAGAAAAATTGCAACCAATACAAGCAATAAGAAAAGTTAAAGGAGAGTCAGAGAAGAACATTAATACAAACAAAATTTTTAAATGAAATGTTCAAAAGGAAGATTGTCACTTCCATTATCAGTATTACAGGAAGCTTAAGGTAAAAAAAACAAAAACAAAAAAAACATTGGATTTATTGAATGTACTTAGAAAGAGCTTCCATTACTGGACTAGCACAAGCAAAAGGCAAAATGTAAAGGGCCAAGAAGTGAGGAGGAGAGAAAGGGTGGAAGGAGCCAGCACAGGCTCAGGCATTGCCTTCAAATTCAGCAGGATGTACATGCTTATGGGGAATTAGGTGCAATCCTGATGTGATGTCCAGCAAAATGTCTCACATTGCAAATTTCCATGGCTGAATAGAATCAAGGACCAGGACAGTAGTGGCCTTAGATTATAAGGAAATACTGGTTCTGGTTTATCAAAAGCTGAGTTTCATTTTTTCTTAACAGTGTTGAAATTTTAAAAAATAAAGCAGCTATTTTGTACAGTTCAGTGGCATTTAGTATTGTCACAGTATTGTACAAGAACACAGCAAAAAACCAATAAGCATAGTGGGTTTGGAAACATAAAATCAAACAGTCTAAAATATAGATCAGACAGAAATTAGAAAATCAGAAGTGTGGGAATGATTCCACTCCGTGGACTGATTTTGTAGGAGACAGCCAAAGCACTGCTAGCTAAGCAAGAACTGTCACAATGCCATCTTTTGTACCATAGCTTAATCTCCCCCACCCTCTTTTCTTTCTTTCTTTTTTTTTTTTTTTGATACCAGGGATCTAACTCGGGACGTTCCACTTACAAGGCAGGTGTCAGAACCACTGAGCTAAATCCTCAGCCCTGCACCATAGCTTTATGATTCCTTGACTTATGTGTACTTGTCCCTCTATCAAGTCCCTTCTAATCCTGGTGTCATAAAATTTTACTGCATGTTAGATTATTTGCTATGTTTTCTCTAATAAGCAAATATATGTTCTAGGGAAAGCTATTGACAACATTTAAACAGAAAATTTGTACTTTAAAAAAGACATTAACCTAAAATCGCAGAAATTAGGTCTATGATCTAAAAGGGTAAGGATTTTAAGGTTTAGAAACTGTTGTATGAACAGGGAGAACTTTCACCTGTGAATAACGAGAGTAGGCTTGTTTAGTTGCTTTGGGACAGAAACAAAGACTGGCAGAGAAATGTAGAAAAAAAGAAGAGAGGCATGAAGATTGAAGAGCACGGTGCCCAGGTGTGAGGGGTCTAGCTGCTAGTTGTTTTTGTTGGGCAAACTTGGGTGAGTATTTACACTACTTTCTTTTATTAAAAACCATGACAATTTGACTCTGATCATATCCTTTCTGCTATGAACATGAGATCAGAAATGAAATAAAACATTAAAAGTAAGATCTAATCAAACACGAAAGCATAAGAGGAAAGATTCCAAGAGAACAAAGACTAATAAAATCCAACATAGTGCAGCTGCCAGCACCACAGCCAGTAGTGATTTTAACCTGATTCAGGCCTTAAAAGGCTGAGGTTTCTGCTTCTAAACCACACAGGAAGACAAGAGAGACTGCCACAGGCAGTTGCAGGTGAATAAACTGAATTTTATAATCCTGTGTAAAAATATGCATGACAATCTTTTCATAGAAATTTTCCAGCCATGAAAAGTGAACTAAAAAAGCTACAAAGAGATGCTGCTGTACAATTTCTGTTTTGTGTATATGAGTATAGATGAAGGTGGGAGGCAACAATGGAAAAATCAGGCCTTTGGGGCCCGAGTATGTCTACCTACATTTCAAATTTAGCATATCTGGCTAAAATCTGTCCTAGACCATTGCAACCCATGTCACAAATTAAGGAATTGAAAGGTAAAATCAGAGATTACAAAAGCTCTGTTATTCAATGTGATCAAAAGTGAGTCTCTGAGAATACTGGCTCATAAATAAATAGAATTAGGCATTGAAAATTACAGATCAGAGGGAAACTTCTAAAGAGATATACAGAAATGTATTAATGAATAAAGGAAGAACTTCATATGTAATATATATTTGTTATACATGTGACTACATATTATATA